GAACTTTATGATACACGCGATGACTAACTTTTCTATCGTCAACTTCCCTTACTTATCCTTAGATATATACCCTTATCACCTGCATATGGAGTTAATATTTCCCCGTTGATATGATTGAAACTCAATGGCATGCTGTACGTACGAACAATTTATAAAAGGAGGCAAGCCATTGATAAACAAGTTGATGAAACAAGGAAATCAGCAGTCTCGTTTAAAGTCGTCATTTTGCAAGCTCTATAATCGATGCAATGACCTTGTCAGCAAATGCAATCTATCATTAAGTCGAATGTTGACTTAAGTTTTTCATACTATCTGTTAGACTATTATTTTAACACCGAATTTCTACAGATTTTTCTGTTTGCCCGACCATGACAATGAGAACACGGCGGAACACCGGTCGACAGGGGATGCTTGTTCCTCCGTGGCGCCTGCTCCAACCTCTGATGTTTTAGAGGTCCATGTTTGCTCTGCACCCGATATGTGGTGTTAAATTGACTTCTGAACTTTATTACTCTTCGTTATCTCCATATTTCCTTTTTTTTTTAAAAAAAAAAAAACAACTAGTATATGAAAAGAAGAAGTCTCTAACTGTTGCTTTCACATCGACTTTTAGATACACGATGTTTTATCAATTCACGATATTCATTTTCATTTCTACTTTAAATTAATTTATCTCATTGGACTCAAAATAAAAGACAATACAGAGCCTGGAAAATCTGTTTCATATTTGGATGTTTGACACAAGAACCCTCGAACCAGGGACCATGAGTTCCACAATTAAGAAGAAGCGCCCTGTTCAACCTGATCACATACTCATGAGCAGAGAATAAGATTATCAAAGAAATAGTGCATTTTACTATATAATCAATAGACCCCCACCCTAACACTAGACATCCTGACCAAGGGGCCATAAATCCACAATGTAGGAAGAGAGATCCTTGCTTATCATAACCATGCACTAAGTTTGTGTGCTTTATGTATAAAGGTAGATAAGAAACTGTTAAAGTATTTATGCATCTTCACTATATGATCAATAGAGCCCCATCCAAACTCCTGAACCCCTGACCACAGGGCCATGGATAACACATTTTCTGTAAAAGAGTCATTACTTGTTATAACCATGCCAACAGCTTGATTGCTTGATTTCCAGCAGTAAAAAGAAGAATTTTGAAAACTGAATTAATTTTGATGGTTTTAGCCCCATCATATAGCCCAAGGAGGGCAGGGATCATGAAATGCATAAGTTATATCCCCCTTTGTCCATAGATACTCAATGGTAAATTTGGTTGAAACTGGTTAAATATAGTTCATGAGAAGACGCTGAAAATGTTCAAAATTTTACGACCGACGAGGATACACATCAACGGACAAAAACAGGTAGCAATGGGTCACCTGAACGACTCAGATGACTTAAATTGATATTGATGGCAAACTAACAACTCAATTTCATGATAAACGTGATAACTTCAACTTTTCTATCGTCAACTTCCCCATTCTCACCATGGGGTTTATGCCTCCCATTTGGTTCGATACGCAAGAGCATGTTCTGTTAACAAATAATTTCCACGACGAAGCAAGCTATTGACAAAAAAGGTGATGATACCACATTAACAGTCTCGTTTATAGTCAATATTTTGTAAATACTATGGTCGATAAAATGATCCTTTTAGCAAATACATTCTACCGTGAAGTCGAATGTATGTAAATTGTTAGACTAATATTTTAACACTGGCTTCTGTGTTGTGTTATACCATATCATTCTGAGAGGTCTTATTTAAAATTAAGCTTTCTGCACTGATTTTATCATATTTTTTTGATTGTTTGCCATTGTCTTTTTAGCAAAATATCCAAATATAAAAAAATGTGTGTCAGACTCTGTGGTGTCTTTTATTTCGAGTTCAAATGGTTATACATCTTCGCGAAGATGATGGTTATATAGAATCAACATAGGAATGAAAATGAAAACTGTTAATTGATAAGATGTCCTCGATATATCTAAATGCCGAATGGAAGGCCACAACAAGTGACTCCTTCTTTTCTTGTAGAAGTTATTCAATAAATTTTACTTTATATCAGTACAAAAATAAGTTTTCTAGTAATGGGACTCAATTATCGGCAATGGGAATTCAAACTGATTGTTGGAAGACTTGATCTACAAAAACTAGATCAATATTGTTCCCGGGTAATCAGAAACACAAGCAGGGATGGGGTAATTGTAATTAGTATTTGTAATTGAGCGTAATTAATTACATTTTCTAAAGTAATTGGAAGTAATTTGTATTTGAGCCAGTCTTCAATTACAAGTAATTGAATGTATTTAAATACATTTCCAAAAATGTCATGTATTTTCAATTACTTTTCAATTACATTTCAATTACTTTTTTTAAGTTATAAGTTTAAAAAGGTGTCTTTTCAAGATACACAGTTCAGTATACCTGTGTGGCATGGGCTTGTGTTTGTGCAACAATTAAATGTCTCCGAATGTTTAATTTGTTTATATAGCATGTCACACTGCCCAGGGCAATAGGTAGAGGTCTAATTTTGTCCAGGTGTGAAGCCCTCTAATACCCAAGAACAAAAACACTGAGTAAATGTTCACTACAGTAAAAACCTTATTCATGCTTATTCAGAACCAAACATGAATTCTTTTCATGTCGTTTGAGATGTCGTTTGAGTGATGCTGTGTTTGAAAATCTGATGATGATTAAAATGAACTCAAAACAGTAAAAACATTTCAGTACATAATGCTTTGTGGATCTCAATGCTGTTTATATATGCATGTTTAAAAAAAAGCCTGGACTGTTACATGTATTTACCGAGGGAATGGTTTTATAAAGTGTTAAAATGTCGTAAGTTTTCAAGCTATTGATAAGGGTAAAAGTTTGCGATTTCATATTTTCTATCCAAATTTGATTTACACCATTTCTCGAATAAATATGCTGCTGAACAATACTCCTGGAGTTTCTCATTCACTGTTGTTAATATTTTGATGAGAAGTAAAAGAAAGAGGCTTGGTATAATATTTACACGAACTTCTTAAGCATCTTTGTTTGTAAGAATTTTTATGAAGTTAAGGAAAATAGGATGGGATGTTAGGAGGCTTTCATGTACGTTTCAGCTTTTCTGGCCCAGTGGTTCTTGAAAAGAAGATTTTTAAATGACCCCACCCAATTTTTACTATTTCTTAATTATATCCCCTTGGAAGAGGGCGTGGCCCCCAAGGATACTCTGTGTAAAGCATGCTTGAAATTGGCCCAGTGGTTCTGGAGATTGAAGATGAAATTGTAAAAAGTTTACGACGACGATAACATTGACAACAACGACGAAAGACAACGGAAAATTTTGATCGGAAAAGCTCAGTTGAGCCTTCGATTCAGGTGAGCTAAAAAGCCTTTGTTTTGCATTATTCATAATCACAGAACTCAGCCTGCTTTCTGTTGTCGAAGAATCTTAATATGGACTTTATTTGGCTCCACTATCAAAATGTTTGAAATTGTTGTTTATTGTGTTATACCTTTGATCAAAATGTCACACCATAATGACTAATCTATTGTAGACCAACTTTGCTCCGATTAACCTATTAAAATTCCATTTATTGGTTCTATTAGAAAACCAATATACAAAGCTTCAGCAGGCAGTTATAGTGAATTGCCAGGGACAAACTAGTTAAATTTGTTAAGTTTAAAATACATTTCAAAACTCCATGAATAAAAATAACTCTACTGTAAGCATGAATTCATTACATGAATAAGCGCGTTTGGTGTAATGAAAAATTGAGATAAGGAACAGTATTCAAGCTCATATATATATATATATATATATATATATATATATATATATATATATATATATATATATATATATATATATATATATATATATATATTAAAGTGTTATAAATATTTAACACAAATTTTTCTATTATTATATATATTTATTATCCGCTGGAGGGGATAAAGTAATGCGCTTGTATGGGGGGGGGGTGTGAGAGAGAGAGGGGGGGTGAGTTAGTTTGTCCCCTGTGCGAAACCGAAGAGACGTTATCAGCATCGGGATCAATGTCGAATGCTGCCTTGATTTATAGATATTCTCTTTTCAAGGGGATGCTCCGCTTTGCAGTGCCCTTGTTATTATCATTTCCAGGCCCGTAGAACGCGGGGGGGGGGGGGGGGGGCAGGTGGGCGCGATTCCCCACTTTTTCTGAGTATACTTTTTTCCTATAGTAATTTTTCCTTTAGATGCGGATTCCCCCCCCCCCCCCCCCCCAACTTTTTGATGTTTTAAGGGTCGAGCTCTCGCAAATTTCAGGATTCGGACAGTAAATTACCTTTTCATTTTTATCTTTCTTTGTTATTTTTTTTTGCTTGTCAGTTTTTTTTTGGAAGTTGCCCCCCTCCTTTTGAAACCGTTGCTACGGGCCTGATTATATATGGCTCATGGCAGGTGTATCCCGTCAACAGGGGATGCTTACTCCTCGGGGCACCTGGTCCTACCTCTGGAATATTTGGGGGTCCGAGTTTATGCCCTATTTACAGAATTGTATTGTTTGTGGGTTTTAAGAGATTGATCGCTGTTCGTTACCTTCACCTTTTTCAATATAATAAATATTTTGGGGAAGACAAAAGTATAAATTAATAATTCTCTCAAAATATATGTACTTTACTATACTATATAGCCTTTTTAAAGCCCCCCCCCCCTCAAGTATGATTTTGATAAACAGTACATTCTACTTTGTTATTAAACATTTTTCAGCTGCAGCAGTTTTAGAAACTGCATGAAGATAAAGTACATGGAATTTCAAATGGGGTACAAAAAGATTTTATCAGATGATTCAGTAGTGTATTAAATGGGGTACTCGTAAAATGTTTCTCTGGCATTTCAAAAGGGGTATAAGATGTTTTTGTGAAATATGTTGTCTCAATGGCATTTAAAATAGGGTAGAAAATGTTTTTGTTGAAAGTACACATTGAAAATAATTCAAAATAAAAGAAGACAAGACAAACGCTCTCCTTTCTTTTATTCACTAGATGAATAAATGACACATACACGTATGCATAATGTATCAAACCATACTTGTATAACAATATACCATATAGTAATCTTGGTGTTGAGAATATTTGGCAAATTTCATATCGCCAAAGTAGTTTAAATATTGGCTTTTTTAAAATAATATTTTGATGGATTTTTTCTTTAATAATCTGTTCAATAACTGTATCAACTTTATGGAAATATTGGTGCTTTATTTTTTTTTGGGGGGGGGGGATTTTTTTCTTTTGATCCAGAAAACTTACTTATGCAATATTACCAAATATACGATATTTAGGCCACAGATACTTTTCTCATGCAACATTGTAATGTCAAAAAAAGAATGTAGAATGTATCTCATATATGAAGTAAAGAAGGCTGATCTTCTACATATTATCAGTTTTAGGAATTTTAAATTTCACCGAATCATTTAGACCTTGGAATCCATTTACACTTCTGTAGGGGATAAATGCAATGGTACATGGTATTAGTTAAATAAGAAGAAGACCCCTTAATTCAGAGTGTGAACAATTGTAGCATAAAAAAGTGAATTGACTCCATCACTTCACATAAGAAATAAATAACCCTTGCATCATTGAAGTACTATTTTGAATTTTAGGATATAGATGCTCCTTTATCACAATATCTGCTGTTTATTGCCTGTCTCCTGACTGTTTAAGTAGTCTTATCTCAACTTTCAGATGCTTTGTTTTCAGGAGTATTGACAGGGAATTCCAGAGTTGGCCAACTGAATGCTTCCGCCTTCTTTAAATTGATTTCTACTTTTGTCCCCATCATTTTCACTGCACTTTTCTCTGGAATTATTTCCTAGAAAAGAATAGAAATTCTTTATGCAATACATTCAGCTTTATTTCTTAAACATTAGGATTTTTTCAAATGGAAAACAGACACTAATACAAATTTTAAACATATCTACCAGTAATTAAATGGAAATTCAAAATTTAACAGTTCCAAAATTAGAATGACCAAAATCGTAAAAATTTTAACCTATAAAAATAACAGTTTCTACCGAGATAAGCTCTGTTATCTAAATATTAAAACATACTTCTCTCAGTATTATATCTTTTTCAAAGAGACTCTTTCCTCCCTCAAAAACGATTTTGATGACACAGCGCACCCTGTTGACAGTTATTGAACATTTTTCAGGAACAGCAACTTTGGCAAAAACAGACAGAGATACAGTTGATGGAGTCTGATGCCAATCAAATCGACAGGACTTCTTCTCTCCCTCCACCTACAAAACAGATAAACAATCAATTTTATGGAAACGATTTAAAAACATGAATATGTGGCTTCTTATGCATGATCTTTCCTCATCCAAATCATTATTCATTTCTTTAATACATAAATTAGTAACTAACATAGAGGAATTTGATGTTGTTACAGCTTCAAATTAATAAATCTACTTTATTTTCATATTCATTGTATCTTTTTTTTAATCGAAGGGAGGTAATTATATTGAAAATTATTTGGCAAGCTTTTTCTTGCCTCTGGTTTGATCCATAAGTGTTTCCCTGTTTCACAGCCTTCCTGGGCTAAAAATTGATCAAATTCTGATGTCTTTCTGTTACAGCAAGACCAAAATTTCATGCTGGAAATCAAAATGGATTTAATTCAGTGGTACATTTAACCTTAGCTTTAAGTATGAATTATCTAGAAAACTACAATATAACAATAAGGTAACAGTTAACTGACAGACAGACAAAAAGGATAATCTAAGAAATACAGATATTAATGAATTATGCTATAATACACCCTTAAAATTAATATGAAAAACACCAATTTTTCTACCTTAGATAGATGTTTAAATATTCAATATACACTTCAGATAAGACTTTCAGAGTTACCTACCCCTCGTGAAACACGGGAAATCCTGGATGATATAGACATTTTTCTGTGTTACTTTCTTCCCCTTCATAACACTGCAAATTTAAAGCAGAGTATTTTCTGTCTTGAACATTTTTTTTTAATGATTATAAAAATTCTTCTTTGAAAGTTTTTTGTAAACATGTTAAGCAGATTTCTGTACACACAAAAGTACACTTGTATATAATTTTTAGGTACATGTACCTGGGTATATAAAAAGATCTATTTAAATACTATCTTTTTTCTACTTACTGCTTTACATCCATTGTTTTTACATGATGTGCCTACTTTCACTTCTGTGGGGTCAGCTTTATCTGAAAATATTATGTATTTAAAACAACTTTGTACTGCATATTGTATATAATAATTCTTGACAAGATCATAATTACAATAGTCGCATTATTAACATAAAATTTTTTCCCCTTTATATAAATTCATAAATTTCACAAAACAAAAAAAAGATGAGTGGAATTTTATGTCTGTGTATTTTAAGATTAAGCACATGCAAATATGAAACAGTTCAAAAAAGGGACCTCATCAACAAATTCTTAAAATATTCGTTAGAGCCTTTTACACCTGAAAATAACAGATAATACCTTCAGTTGTTTGTTGATTGGCATTTTCCAAGTGTTTATCCAGGGCCTGTTTTAGTGAGGATGTGACGTTTACACTGAGGGGGACCAAAGGTTCATCTGAGGAGGGTCTTTCTGAGGGGTCTCTAGGTTTCTTGGGCTCTGGCATCTTTACTTCGATGACCTTAAATAATCAATCACAAATAAACAAAGGTTTTACATACAAATGGTGAATTTTGAAAACTGCATACCAAAATATTTACTTTTAGCTTGTTACATACAGGAAAATTATACAGTCAAACTTCGAGATCTAGACTTCCAAGTATTTTAGAAACTAAGTGTAAAATACTTATTGATAAAGAATAAGTGGTTGGGACTTTCAATTTACTTCAACATCTGGCTCTAAATTCGCTCTTGAGTACATCTTGACCTATGATTTTTACAAGAGGAATATAAAATAAATTATTTAAAAAATTGAAATAAGAAATGTTTTATATTGAAAAGTATATAGCAAATATATAAAAAAGATAAAATAAGCAGATTTTTTCATCAAATTACTTTTTTTTCTTGAAATGAATTTGATAATTCCACTAGAATTACGCATGTGTAGGGGGACATTTTCAACCATGTCAAAATAAAAGTTAAATATACGGCGACAATACCTTGTACACAGAATATCTTCATTTACTACTGTTTAGGAAGGATAAAATTAACATACAAAAGTATTTTAATGCACGTTATGTCTAAAATAAAAGAAAAATTGGAATTTATTTCTTCTCATATTTTGAACGTAACGTCTGTCAGACTCAATACACCGGGTACATTGTTATAAAATGGGCCATTGTTTATGCAAACTATTTAATCTTTCTTGTCTACTGATAGAAAATTTACCTGTTTATCAATTAAGTGATCGCAGATTCAACAGAAAAGCACGTGTGCTTAGAAATTAACAAATCTGTGGGATGCTTCCTGTGTCTGTCATGGCAAGTGGGCGTTACGTTCTATTTTAAGAATGGAGCTCGGAGATGCTTCTTCTTATACATTTGACTTAAAGGTTATGAATATTTCAATTTTCTCCAGTGTTCTATGCAAATATGTTTACAATACGATAAGAAGAGCTACAGAGAGCGCCCGAGAAGCCACGAACGTTTGTCTGTCAAGTGTTACGTTACACAAAATATGTTACGTTCATGAAAATGTAAGTTGTCTTTATCCTAGATTTTAAACACATATCATCAAATATTGTCAGCTAGTAGGTGTATTTTGGATTTTTAAAAAAAAAAATATGAACTTGCACGCTCTTCTTCACTACATAAACACTTAAAATTTGACATTTCTTACATAACGTACCGATTGACAGACATTGCCTGAATACTATCGTAACGGTGACGGACAAAACGAATGTCTGTTCATGTTACGTGAATCAAACGGGTGCATTCAGATTTACATGTTCAGTGAATTAAACCAAAAAGTATTTTTATTTAAGTATATTAGTGTATCATAAGGCAAAATTTGTCTTCTTAACTTAAACAATACAATTTTGTAGTTGTTTTCTTGCAGTTTTTAAAACGAGTCTGTCAGGGTTACGTGCATCCGTACATGTTACGATATAGGTTTGATCTATATGAAATAATTTATTTTTTTAAATTTCATTAGTATTTTCATAAATAATAATGTCTTGTGTATTATAATTTCCAAGAATAAAAGATAAGCTTGGAATGATAAATTTTAATGGCTCGTTTCAAACAGGTATTGCTCAAGAAATATCGTAACATGACAGACATAGTGGAAATTTTGTATGTTGCAAAGCATATAGCAGAGATTTATTTTTTAAAAATTCAAATTTAAAATCTATAAGGAATCAAAATTTGAATAATATCCATTTCTTAGGGCAACATTATCTTTTTGATAAAATAATGAAAGTTTATGGTATATTTGGCTTGCTAAGTAAAGAAGTCTGTCAGTGTTACGATCATCAGTTTGTACATCAAAAGTAGCTTAAAAATCTTTTTTCTTCTATGTAAGAGTGAAAAATTTTTTTGCATTGTTTAAGGAATTGTTTAATTTTATTTTTTACAGTTTATTTGTATTGCTAAGCATCAGAAATGTAATTTAATCATGTCACGTTTTATCATACGTCTGTCATGTTACGTTATATGTCTGTCATGTGTTACGTGACACATATTTCAAACATTAATAAAATATTTATTTTTGACTTGATTATCTATTCAAACATTTTTTTGTCCTATTTAGAGTCAAAACTTCAAATACACATAAAGAAATCTAAGAAAAAAACGTGTCTACAGAATTCTTTATTTGTCCTCCCAGATGTACTCAAGAGCGAATTTAGAGCCATATCCATGGTATTTGAGATATCAGTGTTTGAGATATAACGAAGTTCAACTGTATGTGCATAACATTTTTTAAACACAGGGCTAAAAAAATGTATGCATAGAAGTACATGTAATACCAACCTCATCTTTGTTGGAGTTTGTTTTCTCTTCTTTTACTGGTTCTGGAGGTTTAACATTACTGTGTTTTCCTTTTGAGCAACCCTGCAAAATTAAAAAGATAATAAATATAGTTCTAAAACATTACCAAAAATATCAACAAAGCCTGAATGGTAACAGTAAAACACAGTTATAGTAAAAAGGCTTAAATGACTTTACACTTACAACTACTTGATTTCATGCCCTGTAGTTTTCAAACATATCATGGTCTTAGCAGATAAAAATCAAATTATCAAAATGGTTTCCTGACACTTTTTGTTAAACTAAGTATGTTTTACTGTAAAGGGCAGTCTAATTCATTAACAATCCATTTAATACCAAACAGCAGACAATTGTATTATGACCTAGATTTTCCAATTCGCAAGTGGTAGTTATGCGACCAAGAAAAATAAAGATGAACATGACTAGATTTCATTAGAGTGTGTATATATACCAGTTCATATTTCTAAGATTTACTTTTACAGATTTGTATAGCCTGATATTTTCTTAATTTGAATCTCAATTTTAATTGAATTCAAATCAGAACGGAAGGAAGAGTAGCACTCTGATAACTTATTTACAGAGTGACACTTTATTTTGATGGAGTAAAATACAGTCAAACCTCATTATCTCAAACTTGATGGGACCGAGAATTTTTTTTTTAGAGATATTCAAGGTTTTGAGATATTGAGGGTAAATTATTTAAAGTGCTTGAGACTTCCAGATCACTTTGACATATCCATGGTATTCGAGAAATCAGAGCTGTAGATGCTCACTGGAAACAATTAATTCTTCATTTTTTTATATTTTATATTCTACTTGCGAACCAAGTCTTATTGAAATTGCACCAAAACTGTAGGAGTAGCGTTTTGAAAAATTGTTTACAGACAAACAGACAGAGGGATGACGGACACCTTGCATAAGCTCTTCTGGTCTTTGACCAGTAGAGCTAAAAAATTGTGAACAATTTATAGTCTTAGTTATATTTGCAGGAATATTCTCTTGTATTTAAATCATTTTGCAGTTATCTATCTTCCAGTTAGAGCAGTATGGATTTTAATTCCGTGTAAGATAATGAATTTGTGAAATTTATTATTTTGCATGATTTTGATGTAAAATATATATAATACTGATTGCACTTTTCACAATGTATCATGTTTATATTATCACAATGGATCATGTTTATATTATTAATTAACTGCACTGAACAGCCCTACAGCACAAGAGATTGGTTAGGACAATACCGGTGTGTTGAGGAATTCTGTGAAATCTGTACTGCGTTTTTTACAACAGGACCAGCCCTTCAATGCATCATGGAACACAGGTTGACCTGGGTGATAAGTACAACTGTCTGTAATATAAAGAGATGGCACATTACAGAAATATAAATGAAAACCATTTTTTTTCATGCACCTGGTATTAGATTTATAATAAATGTTTTGACAAAGGTAAGGCATTGCACTCTTTGTCAGATGTAAGGCGAAAATGTACAAGACGTTTGGATGTACACCACCTTTGTGTAATCTCAATCTCTGAGAATCTGAATGATATTTCCAGAAAAGCATTGCTATGTAACTGCAATGTATATGTTTTCCCAAGTTAATAGAAAGAATGTTTTTTGTTCAAATGACAATGTCCTATGATTGGGAAGGCCATGAAGGTCAATGGGACTAAGACGCCACTGTTGAAATTGTTAATGCACCATTTTCAAAATGGTTGGGCCATTGGGCCATCCCTATATTCTCTAATAGGCCATTTTTTTGGTTGATAAAATAAAATTACAAATAGGGTATAGGTAACTTGACACATATACATGTAACATACAGATACTTCACATGTATGCAGTACAGTATATCTAGGGAAATGCTCATACAATATGAAACACCCATATTTTTGGATGAATAAGATAAAAATTTTGATTGAGAATTATAAATCAGTGCACAGTATGGTACCTTTTTTGTCCTAAAGTCCTTTATGTGACAAGAAGCAGTTTTTTTGTAGTCTATTTTTATTAGAGGGTTTTTAACCAATGAGATTCCATGCTGCTGCATGAAATGAAAATGAATGCATAATGTAGTTTTAATGAACATTGCAGGACTTGCCTACTACAGAAAGTTGAATGTGCATCTTGGCACTATGAATAGTTGATGAAATGTGCCATTTTTACCTCAATGCAACTACAGCACATGGCTCAAGCTCTTCCCAATCAATGCCTATGGGCCCTGTTTAATGTTTCATACCAATTCTGATCTATGTGTATACTATTAACTATTCAGAGAATCTAAAGTGCATGTCAACATGGTGGATCAATTTGAAACAAGTAGACAATGTTGAGATTGTGTTGAATGTTTTTATTTTTTGGATTTTTGGATTTAACCAATGATTATTATTTCATATATTATTTGATATATTATTTTTTGGATTTTTTGGGGGGAGTGGAACCTCAAAAGATTTAGTGATTTTTTTCAATGCAAATATTTTCAATCTAAACCTTTGTCAGAGCAATTCTGGGTATACAGGTGATCATCCTCATGCCAGGGGTCCTGAGTCAACATGTTGCCGTTGGACCTCCGACTAATATCATTTGATATTTTATGGACCGACTGCAGTGATGTCTTTTGGGAAAATTACAAGTCTTGATTGCTTTTTATATAGATCTCTCAACCAATCATATTAAGTCTTTCAGTGATAAACAAATTGTAAAACATGCATTTGAGGTGTCAATTGATTCCTTTTTGTTTACATTTATCTGTCTACTTACGAAAGTTTTGAATTGATTTGTGGTTCTCAATGAGAGAAACAAACCAAAAGAAAATTAAAAGAAGTTAGTCAGGGATCTAACGGTAATGCATTGACTCAGGACCCCTGACGTTGTGAGGATGATGGGAGGCATTCTAACTGTTGTTAGGGCCTGCTCTGAGACAAAGTTACTATCCACCAATTCAAGAGTTATTTTCAGATCAATCATTTATTTTGAGATTAATCTAAACCCCTTCACTATTGTACCCGAGTATAACGCTCTACTTAGAGTTTGACTCATATGGAAGAAGAAATGTATTAAAAGTAGACACGTGGCGTGAGATGTGAAAGTGAACAGATGACACACTTCTTCACTCTAATCACAGTCAACACCTGCATTTTGGGCTACTTTCCTTTGTTTTTACGTTTCCATTAATCTCAGCGAGATATTTAGAGACTAAAAATTTTGGTCTGGCGTCTCTCCCCTCTAGAAAATTTTTAGTCTGTACGTAACGAATCTCGCTGAGATTACGTTTCCATGACATTTCAAATACTAGCTAAATTACTGAATCAATTCCAGATAAACTAAGGTGTCTATCACAAGCGTCTAGGTAATGCAAAAAGAAATCTTAAAAAATCACAATTGACAAGTAAACAAACCACTTCTGAAAACATTGTGACTCCATTGACAAAGCATGATACACAGAAAAAAAAACGCTTTATAACGGGTTTATTAGCCTACCTTCTTCGTTGCTAGAGAGATCAAACTTTTGACCACATCCTTTGTTGTAACAGTGGACAAGCTCGGTCATTTTGGAAACTTATAAACAATCGACTACACTTATTTTTCTCCTCAATTCTGGAAATTTCTTCTTGCCGTTAATGCCGGTATCGGAAATACAATAGAGACAATAAAAGAGTGAACCGGTAAATAACATGGGAAAACCCGGATAAAAGTAAATTTTAAACGTTGACGCTATTTTAACCAAAATGTTGACATCTTCTTCTCCACACGATACCTTAATTTTATCTGATTTTAATTCATTGTAATTAAATTATTGCTAAAAATTAAAAATAATTTTGTATAGTTTAAAAAAAATAGATGTTCGACCCTTTCGCATTTTGACTACACTTAGTATGCGAGCGGATATCACATTTCATTAATTTTAATCAATAAGATCGTATACACTATCGTCTTAATATTTAAAGTAATAATGCGTCTTAATTTAAAATAATACTGAAAATAAGTATCTCCGTTGTGACTTTACAGACTTGACCCTTGGATGGTCTTACACCCTAAATTGACACGATAACTTAAAATTATCAAAAATACATTATATGTTCTTCTCATATCATACTTCCCATTTTTGTTTCGATCTTTCAACTGTATAAAAAAAATACCGGTTAAAAGGTAATCTCAAAAAGGGGGGTTTATCAGATTAAAGTCAATGCTAGAATAGAATTAAAATTTTTGATAAGTTATCTTCTTTGTCTTGTTTGTCTAGAACATATTTTATGACAATATGTTGACAAAAGTTCCAAAAACTCTCTCCAAACTTAAAATCTGAATAGCCATACTATTCAACCATGCTAAAATCTGAATATAGCTATTTTTACAATTTACATGTTGTTCTTGTCAAACATCTTTTCTTTTCTTTTTTTAAATATGAAAAACCTAAATGCTGGTTGGGGGAAGGGTACACCATCCGTAAGTCAGGTGCCTGAGAGCATCTTTCGCATACATATGCTATATACAAAACTAAAGACATTTTCTCTGGATTAATTTGATAAACAGATATATGAAAAAGAGTTACATAGATTGTTATAGTTAGTTTTAAATTCTATGAATTCTAAAACTTTAATGTAACTAAAGGACACTTGATAAATCGAAATATTATCTATACCAAGAATATACTTGTATACATATACATATGTATATACCTACATGTATGTATCTGTCATGCAAAGGATTCTCAAGATATTGAACGGACATTATCATCTTATGTCTAGTGTGACCTTTGACATTAATAGTGACTTATAAATCAATAACTGAAATCTACTTTTCATTGGATGCTAGTGTTTGATGTATTTCTCGTCGAAATATTGAGCGGACAATACTTGGTCTTCTGACCCCTGCTGATGTTGAGGTCTCAAAGGCAAGGGTCAGACTACTCTGGTCATAGAAAAATATTTGCCGCTCAATATTTTGAGCCCCTTGCTAACTGACCCTGACATTAAAGTGTCATATCATCTTTTTCTCAAAGTCTACTTTTAATGCCTGCCAAGCAAAGGGCTTAGATGATAGAGTCACCGGAATTAATTTTCCCGAACTGCTTGACTGGTTAAGTAATAGACTCTACCCATCTATCAAGATATTGAGCGGCTAATATTTTTCTATGTTCTGAGTAGTCTGACCCTTAACTTTGTGACCTCAAAATCAGCAGGAGTCTACTTCTTTGGAGGTATCTTTTGCACTAAGCTAGAAGTCTAGCTGTCAACCAAAGGGTTTTCAAGAACTTCTATTTCTTTTTTTAAATCTAGGGTCGACACACCTTTTTCCTATATTTGTGTATTCTAACATGCACTACATACTATCGATGATGTAACCCTTTCGTCTCCATGAGCCTATTTTAAATAATTTTTTTTAAAAAGTCTCGTTTTCGACTGTTACCTCTCTTTGAATGTACGGTCAGTCGACAACAAGGTATTTAAAAAAAAGCTTATAAAGACAAAAGAATTACTATTATTGATAGCAATTAAGTACATTATGTAGTTCATATAAGAATACCAGGCCCGTGGGAAGCAAATTCAGTTTGGGGGGGGGGGGCACAGCCATACATTTTCATTTGACAGTTGAGGGGGCACTACCAAAAATTCCTTGACAAGCAAAAAAAAAAGTTTTTATTGAGGGGGCACAAGCATATAGTATCTATATACTATAGTAATCTACATATCGGCAAAATTATTGGGGGGGGGGCAAGCCCCCCCCCCGTGCCCCCGGTTCCTACGGCCATGAATACAAAATAGGAAAATAGTGTGTCGACCCCAGATTTAAAAAGAAAAAAAATGGAAAAGGGGTGGGGGTCCATGCTCCAAGTGCCTATGATTTAATCGGTATTTTTATTTTCGCTACATATGATTTTGATAATCAATCATCAGACTTTCAGAAACACTAAATACTCCAAATACACTAGTAAAATTATATATATATATACGTAAAAGACAAATATCAAAGTTTACACTTTATAGCCAGTTGCAAAATTCAATTTCTGAAACGTCATCATATGCAGTAAATTAAACTTAAAGTTTTGCAATCCTCATGTGAATTCATAGATTTTTGCAAAATCTTTCATTTATGAAACTCTGTGCCCAAAAGAATTATACACAATTTTAAAAAAAATGTCCATAATTTAATTTAATGCTGCTTACTAGGAAAATTTTAAATGCCTGACATCTTAAAAACGTCAGAAGCATATACGTTTTGTGATTTTTTATTATTTAAAATCATATTAATTTTTTTATTTATTAATTTTTGAGCCACAAAAATGTAAGGCACTTTATGATGCTCATGTACTGCACGACTAACATATTGTGCACACCACTAGCAATCTCTAGCCAGAGTTATCGCTCCTTTTCGTGTACGTGGGTGTTACATGTTCCTACTAGTATCTACCGATAATAAATTTAATTTCGTGTATTGCATGTACACAGGCTTATATATCAATAATTAAGGAAAAACAAGCATACCACGGTGATCTAGAACGATATGTCGAAACGCGGTATGTATTAGTAATTTTTATTCTTAAAATTTTAGTCATAAAAAAATCAAAGTACCAAGAGTTCGCAAAGTCGACGATTTCTTACATCACAATCAACAGGATATGATTCTAATAAATAAATGTAAGAAAAAAAATAGTTTTTGTGCAGCTATTTGTATGCCGATATTAAAAGCTCAATTTGATCTAGCTTAGATATTGGTTATTTCAATCCAGAGTCTGAGATGTTTTAAATAGTTTTATTTTAATTTAAAAATGTTCGAACTTAGGGAGAATATTTTGAAGGCTATTTTCTAGGTACACAATGGAATAGCCTAAGACAATTTTAAAACACATATATCAAATTACATATAACCCTTAAACGTAAAAGCACATAAAAGTTATGTAATCAAACACTAAACACTATCAATTATGTTTACTAAAGATTTAAGACTGATATCAAACGCGTACTTAAATCCAATACACCCACTAGGAAGATGCACTTAACCGGAGAACTTATCTGCAACGGGTCAATAATCAGCACATTATCTTTAAAACGTATTAATATACCCATTGCTCAAGTACATTGTTCAAACCATCATTTAATGATGAAGCAATATTTTTAGTTAAATTGTGTATTATTAGCTCCATCGATAAGCACATTGCACTACCGGTCTTAAACAGCAAATTGGTTTTTACAGTCGAAAGACCAAGAGACAGGGGTTTTTTTTATTATTTTAACGAGAATTGAAAACGGGATTAATATTAAGGTCCAAGGATTTAAATGTTATAACCTTTCCAAATAAGCAAATTATGTTATGATATGAATTTAGGTAATTAAAAGAATCATATACAACACTTTTAATCAACATAAAGTATATGTCACTATGAATATATAAACACTAACAAGACTCCTTCTTAATTCTGGCGTTTCAGGGCTGGTAGAAAGATTAAAAAATGGAGAAAATGTATTGATTGCCAATGGATATATGTGGGAGTTTGCCCGCCGGGGATACCTAACGCTTGGTGGATACGTACCAGAAGTGGTGATCGAACACCCCGAATTGGTAACACAGCTGCACGAAGAGTTTGTTCACGCCGGAACTGACGTACTGCCTGCTTTCACCGTAAGCTCAGTCCTAAGGAACCAGCCAAAATAAAAAGAAATCTTAATAATTTTTAAAGAAAATAAATAATTTGATAATGAATTAATACAAATCTTTATCTCTTCGCTTAATAATATATATAGATATGTTACTGAAAAAATATAAATAATTTGCAGTATTTTGGACATAGAGAAAAGATGCGTTCGATTGGAAGAGAAGCGGAAGTTGAATCCTTAAACAGACAGGCTCTCAGAATTGCCAGAAAAGCGGCTGATCAGACAGGCTGTCTTGTAGCTGGCAGTGTTTGTCATACTCAAGTCTACTCTGTTAACGATCCAGAAACACACGAGAAAAGTAGAGCAATATTTAAGGTTTAGAATTTTTTTCCATATGTCCACTGGAACTCATATAAGTCATAATAGAGGTTCAAAGATTTCAATAAGTCTTTGTGGAGAAACTTTTGGAAAGTACACAAGCTACAGTTTGATTCATATGATTGAGCAGTATGACCCATGATCTTTTTCTCTTAATAGTTTTGATACTGTTTCGAAGTGATGGCCATTTTTTTTGGGAGCTACTTACAAGAAAAACATTTCTGAATCTATCCTTGTTTGTTTTATCAATAAGGACATTTTTAAATCTTGAATCAATTTATTTTACTTGAACCCTCAGGAGGTTATAGAGTGGGCAGTAGAGGAGGGGGCGGATTACATCGTGGGGGAGACGTTCTCAATCTTTGAGGAAGCTAAGCTGGCTCTGGAGTGTATCAAACTATATGGCAAAGGTAAGGTTTAGGTTATCTCGGTAAGATTTAAATTATCTCGGTAAATCGCATTGTAAGGGGAGAAATTATATGCTGGCAAATTCTTTGATGTATGTATATCAAACTGTTATGATGGGCAATTAAATTATCACCAGCTGAGCAAAAAGACAAACAATATACGAAAGACTTTATAACTTTTACAGTTGGCTTGCAAATAAGGCATTGCAATATCCAGTTGAAATTATTACAGTAACATTCAACATCGAGTTCTTTTTTCCCCCAAGCTGCAAAGGAAAACAACTGAGTGATTATAAATAAAGACAAGTAATCTGAAAACATCATTTTAATTAAAAAAATATCACAAAAATGTAAATTAATTTACTTTTCTGAAATTTATTTTAACTTCTCATACAAGGTCTCCCTGCTGTTATCACTTTGAGTGCTCATATACCGGATCAGACGGTGGACGATGTCCCGATACCGGAAGCTTGTCGTCGCTTGGAGGAGGCCGGGGCGGTTGCAGTAGGATTGAACTGCTCTCGGGGTCCTAAAACCATGATTCCACTCATTCGAGAAATTAGAAAAGTTTGCAAGGTTTGCCAAATTGAATTGAAATACATCCTTAATTAAGTCATTTAATGATTTTTTAATCATTCGAACATTACATTAAGCTGAAAAATAGGTTTGACCCCCCTCCAAAAGAAAGATTTTCACTTTTTTTTAAACAACAGTAGAGACTTTTCAAAATCAATTTACAGTGAAAACTGTCTAATCCAACACCTGTGCAACCCGTCACACTTTGAATTGCGACGTTAATTTTTTCTCTCCAGTTTTACTATTTTCCATGATTTTTTACACTGTGCAATCCGACACCCTGTCTATTTCTACATAAAATTCGTCTCCCGGTGTATGTCGGATTAGACAGGTTTCACTGTACATACAATATGAAATTTAAGACCACGCAAAGAAAAGAAACAACTTCAATGTCTTTTTTTAAAGTTAGAATGATATTAACTGGTGTCCATTAATTGAAGGGCCCCATAGCTGCAATACCCGTGCCTTTCCGTTGTAAAGATGACTGCCGCACATTTTATTCCTTCAAAGATGAAGAAACAGGTTGGAATTCAAATGAGATGATTCAGTAGCTACTCATCTGCAATTAATTTTTCTCCCTACAAATATTCTTCTTTTTTCATTTTTTTAGGAAAGTTTCTCTATCCAAATAACCTTGAATGCAAAAAATGTTCCTCAGATGATATCAGAGAGTTTGCAACAGCAGCTAAGGAAATTGGTGTGCAATATGTCGGCCTCTGTTGCGGAAATTGCGCAGCTTACATGCGTGATTTAGCGGAGGTCTATGGTCGTACACCGGAAGCTAGTCGATATTCCTGTGACCTGTCTCTATCGTTTGTCTGGGGAGAGAAAAAGGCACTCAATAAAGTAGCAGATAAGGAATTCATGTATATGGTGTACGGAACGGAGAAGTAAAATAGGAATTTTCATAATAATTTACCTTTTTCCATACCTTAAATCGTTGTGAAATTTACACATTAAACAAGTCCTTGAATTATTTTAAAATTTATAGAAGAGTTTGGCATTTTTTAGAGGCGAAAAGGCACATTAGTGAACGATATTTGGTGGCTTGCAGGGTCCGCGTTCGATTTTTGTCTTTTAACAAACGTCGCCGATAGCTGTTTCCTATTTTTATCTGAGGTCTTAGAAATATACGTTATACCTTTTTTCAAAGGAAAAAAATGGAAGAAAACTTAACCTCAAAAGAATGAGGCAAAACAGACATTTATATATGTATCAACTCAGCGGTTTTTCATCTGTGCATTTGATAAAATGGTTTTGATGGGCAAATTCAGCGGAAAGATTTTTTTTATTAAGAAACCCAACGTAGTCAGGGCCCTAAAGAAATGCATTCTCGACACGTTTCGGTTGATCTTTCTCGATCGTCTTTTACCTAGAAGTATTGTAGATTTGGATAAAGATTTATTCCCAGGTTAAGTTATAATACATACATGTAGCAAAGTACTATTGTTCCCCAAAAGAGATCTTTAAAGCTTTGTTTTTAATTTACTTGTGCGAAGTACGATTGTTTAGTAAATTTTAGGTTTTTATGATGGCAGGAATATATATATGTACATGTTGATGTTTAAATATTAATGTTTAATATTGTTTTAAGTTTTGTTCAGTGATCTTATACGGAATGAAATACAAATTCTTACAGATGCATTCTCTCAATTTTTTCTTACATCAAAATAATTGATCTACATCAGAATTTGTATGATGTAAATGATTTTTTTTTCTTTTGCATATAAATAACTTGCTCTTAAAAGCATTTTATGTATGCTTGTAAAATCCATTTATCTTTTAATATTCCTTCTATTTCGGAGGAAAACCTTCACATTTTAAGATATCATTATTTTTTCCTGCCGAATTTCTTAAAAGTATTGTTTTAATACGATTCAACAGGTTGTTGTGAAACTTTTAGGTTTAAAAAAAATTACAAATTGGATCAACGAAGAGAAGAGATATTATTCACATATCCCAAAGAGAGTTAACTCTCTTATCAGAAGGTTGATGAACCTTAAAATTGAGCCTTTGCAATCTTTTATTTCTAGGTCTACATTAACCTCCTACAAAATAACAAACTTTGAAAATATTGTTTCCCGTTTCGCGAAAGTTGCGGGGACATTAATTCTCATTTGTATGTCAGTCTTCAGCCTTGGTCATAATTTTTTAAATGAGAGAAGATATGGCTCTCATATTTCAAGACCTTTCAAAATAATTTTTGACTCATGACCTTAAAGTTTGACCTAGTCCTAAAAATTCTAACTTTTGGAATGACTTTTGAATGGGAGAAGATAGGGCTTCAATATTTCACCGTGACAATCTGTGGCAATGTACTAATATGAATTTAGACCTCATTTGTTTTTCAAATATCATGTTTGCGAATATTTTGCACACGTCAAATTTCTGAAATTTGCCGATCACATCTTCCTACATTCGGGCAATGCAATAAAAGTTATTTTCCTCACTCTTGAAGACAGCTTGTTTTGAAAGGGTTTACTTTTTTGTTCTTCTTCAGAATAGAAAAATACGACTTGAACGAAAAAGATTGGTTCTAAGACTGTGAAAATTTACTTTTTATATAAAAAAAAATATTTTATTTAATTTTTATTACTCACGTTCAATACATAGCGTATGTGTTTTAGATCTGAATATTAAAATGGTATATGATACAAATCAATTATTATTGCACTGAAGTCATTTAAATAAAGAGACATGCACATAAATAAGATGTACATGACATTGTATGTAATTGATGATCATCCTATAAAACATTTGGAAATTGGAGATGTCGAAGGATAAAATTCTTGTTTTCATGTACAATTTCGAATAAAAAGTAGAGTGTGTAGTGTAAATCAACAAACTTAAAATTCGTCCTCATGCAACAACTTGTTAAAGAGGCTGGGGGGTTGTGGCCATTTTTAGACTATATTGATCTCCTTTAGAAGAAGAGCTCCATATGAAGATATAGAAAATGATCAAATTTTAAAACTAAAATTTTTGAAATTTTTCTTTGCCAAATGATAGTTGACAGCTTAAGATATCATATCTAAAAAATTAAGTTAAATCTGGTGGTTAATTTGTGGTTAATTTGTTGACCCCCCAGCCTCCTTAACGTTAAAGCCCTTGCATTCACCTATGGGTGATAAGAAAGATTATATAAATAGTTCATTATAAACAAAATGATCTATTTCAGATTATCATGGCTGTGTATTTTCCTTTGTAAATATTTGAAACTGAATATATTATTGTTGTTATTTTGTTTCGGACCAAGTAATCTATACTTTGTAAATATTTGAAACTGAATATATTATTATTGTTATTTTGTTTCCTTTAAATAATAACGGACCAAGCAATCGCTTTAATATATATCTATACTTATACATGAATAAATTTTGCAAATAAACTCCGAATGGCCTGCACCAGAGTTCATACGTACTACACTGGGTACTCTAATTTTACACTAGGTATGAAATGATGTCCGTAAACTATATTTAGAGTAATTATCGTAAATTTGATTAAAAGTTTACTTTTGTTTTCGATAAACAGCCGTGAAATAGCAAAACAGAGAGTGCTGTGGTGGTTAGGGTGGGAGGATCTAAGTTACTGGCAATTTTAACACAAGCAATCGTTTAATTATTGATAAAACTTCATTAGTGAATTTTTAATCAAAAGTTGATTTTAGTGATACATGTAAAGAACAATTAAGTTGTGATAACTATTCTAAAACAAAACGTTTTCGTCAATCCCCAATCTTAGTCTAGAACGTCATATGGCATCAAGCCCGACGTTTTAAAGAAAAACGAGGCGATTAATCATGCACTGCATGAATACAATGAATGAATTATGTATTTTCACTCGATAATCAATTTAGCCACCCCCTCCCCCCAAGCTGAACCTCTGAGCTGGGGCCACAAATTTCACAATTTTAAGAGAGGCATCCTTGCTCATTATAGCTATGCGCCTAGTTTGTCTGCTAAATACCCAGGAGCAGAGAAGAAAATTTTCATTAATGCACTTTCACTATTTGATCTATAGAGTCCCACCCAACTCCAGAATCCCTGGCCCAGGGGCCATGAATTTCAAATTTTGGCAGATGTCTCAATGCTTATTACAATCATGTCAACAGTTTGACTGCTTGATGTCCAGGAATAAATAAGAGGATTTTTAAAAATTGCACTAATTTTCATGGTTTAAACCCCACCCTTCAGGCCCAAGAGGGGCAGGGACTATGAAATTCACAATTTTTGTTCCTCTTCACCCGTAGATGCTGCATGCAAAAATTGGGTGAAATTGGTTCAGCGGTTCCAGAGAAGAACCTGAAAATGTTCAAATGTTAACGCACGACAAACAACGACGGACAAAAGCAGATAGCAATAGGTCACCTGAGTGACTAAATGACATATAAAGGAAAGCTTTATTGTGAATTGGCGTGGAAATATGGTACAGCACTTGATGCCGCTCTTAAGTTTTGAATATATTTATAATTAGAATGACAATTGGTAAGTTGTGCAGTAAAAATTGCATATTCGCCACTGAGAGCATCAAAGCAACGCGAAATCGAAGTACAATATGTTTATATTAAACGTGTTTACATGTAAAGAGAAAATGTCATTTATGAATATGCTATTGTTCAGATATATATAAAAAAAAGTGGTGCATACTAAGTTTTCACAAAAACTTTTACTAAAGCTGTAAAAAAAAAATTGCTTTAACCAATATGAATACAGTATCTTGTTTTATAATATAAGGCCTATTCATAAGATGTGAAAATCTAACTTTTATAAAAAAAAAAAATATGCTGATAGATTTATCAGTAAAATGTATGATAGATTTATCAGTAAAACATATTCCTTCTTTTAGTCTTGATGGAAATGGAAACAGAGCACCCGACGTATATGTATATACAACAGGTATCAAAATAAAGTTGCTAGCAAGTGTAGAGAAAACGTCAATTAATGGAATTCGTATTTTTCAAGTTTTTACAAAAAAAGCAAAAACAAAAAGAAGGGGAGACCCTTGGGTTTATGACGATTATTTACCTTTTCTCCTAAACTAACTATAGAATTTTGAACAAAACATTTCTTTGCTATAAGACTGTAATTAACTATTAGTAGAAATCATAGATCTATTATTGAATTTGCTCCGTCAGCAGTGGTAAAAATTCATTTCCCCGCGCTTGCACGGCATTTCATCTAGTGTATCCTAAATCTCAATTAACGAAACCCTTTCGCGGTGGAGGTATACAATGCTACAAGTAGATCGGTCATTGAGAGATAAGAAAGAATTAAGAAAGCTCTAAATACATGTGTACTAACAAAACGTGCTTTTTGGACTTGGAGAAAAAATATATCACATAAAGGTGAGTGTATAGAGACTATTTACTTCATTTTCAACATAGGGTACCTGCCTTTTTTCCGCAGGAAAATATTCAAAGACAATTGACTATTCGTGAACAGAAATCACTGTTGTTTACTTACACTGGGTAAATTAATGGAAATAATGAATTCAATTACTTATCCATGGTCTAACATAATGTTTAAAATATTTCAATCTATTACAAATTGTGTAATTAACTGTGAACAGCCAGTTTTTCTATATTACTTCTAAGGGCAGATCACACTAACTTTATAAAACTACCCTACAAGTAGAATTCTTTAGTGTGCAGAGTTTAAAGCTACCTTAAGCCCTGGTGAAATATCTTGCTGAACATTCGCTGAACCACGCAAGTAAAACGAGAGAAGCTATTCCTCATTTGTCACATTTTTGTTGATATTTCCACTAAGTCGACTCTTCTAATGACATCACTTTAAGAGTTAACGTGCATTACGTCAGCGTTAAAATGGCGACGTTAAGTTCCAAACAATGGCACTTACAGGCATAAATTTTTCACAATATTTAAAAGATAAATATATACTGCTACATATTATCTGAAAGTTTATTTTTTCGGGTTTCTTCCCCGGCATTTAAATCTAAATTTCACCACGTGGCATTTCAAAGACCAAAACGCCCCTGGTTCTTTAATATTTAATTTTGTTTTTCAGGTGGATTATAATTTTGAATTTCAGTGAAAATTAGAAAATTAATAATCACAC